GCAATTATACGTTTAAAAAAATAGCAACTAGGTGTTAAATTGCAACTAATTTAATTTTCAAAACGCTTATAAGTATTTTCTGATCACGCTCAATTTGATTTAAAAATTCAGATATTTTGTGAATATTTTATATGTATATTTGTATGTACTCATGATTTTAAAAATTCATTTGAAGTAATATTCAATAGCATACGTTCTTTGCACAACGCTACACTATACTTAATTAAGTAGAGAATTTATTGAGAAAATTATATAATATTTTAATAAGAGTATAATAAGGAAAATGGAGGTTTCCTAATCAAAAATTTTCGATAATTCATAACTAAATAAAACCAGAATTCGAATATCTTTTAAATACAGCCTCTGTTTATTTATTTTACAATTCAAAAGTTTCATATCATACATTATTTTGAATCGATGAAATTATAATTATCATAAAATGACAAATTCAAACCAACCCTTTAAATAAATTTGTGTGCATACAGTTTTTATACCCATGCTTTGAAAACAATTGCATGAATGCTTTTACGATCGCTCTTGATACTTCCTATGCCTATATAATTTTAATAACAATTGGTCCAATCAGTAGCAGACTTTTGATTAAATTAGTGCACTGCAAAGTATTTTTAAAGTTGCATGACAGCTGGTGTAACCAGATGCTTATACTTATTTAATTATAGCTTAAAATAATATTAAATATTATTTATTTAAATAAATAAATTAAAAGTTTGTATAAATTTTATCGTATATAAACAAAAATTTTCCCATAATAACTTAAATAACAAAAATTTGAAAAACTTAAGTTTAACTGGTTAATTTTTTACCGTCCGAATATCTTAATTTTGAAATTTTCTGTTCTGTTCTAATTTATGTAATATTATATTCAATTAGCAAATATCGAATAATGAAAATAACATAGTCGATTAAACAATTACCATATACTTAAAAACGATCATTAAAATTTCATTATTAAAATTTATTTTATTCGAATGGTAGTCGATTTTTATATGTAATAAAGAATTCGATTGAAAATGTAATTATGTACTTATGTAATATATTACTATGTATGTACATATATGAAAATATAAATAAATTATTTTTGATATTCTTCATGCATATTTTGTTTATTTTGTATTGCCCTGGATATAAAGATAAGCAATGATTGCCTATATGAATATGCGAGAAGACAAATCTATATTATGTTGTGTATATTATGAAAAATTTATAAAGCGTACATCATACTCACATTGCATATTATTAAAACATATACATATGTATATGTAAAATAACTCACGTTTTTTAGAAAGATGCCTTTAATAGGAATAGTTTTGAAGAACAAAAATGAAAGATTGTTAGCACACGTTTAAAATGATTAATTGAAAATGTGTAATGCATTTTAAATATAAAACAACTGTTTTCATGATTTATGAGTTTTTGCGATTTAAAACTTCGTTACATTAAAACTTGCAAGAAATTAAAAATATTTGAAGGTGCGAAAAGCTATTTCATATATAATATAAAATTATATGTAAATATGTATGTATGTAAGTTCATTAAGATGATGTTGGCAATCATTAGATTAAATTATGTACACCTTATGAACAAGAAAAGAGGTAAAATTTATTATGTATCACTTTATAGTTAAGTATTCTATATAGAGGAGAATTAAAAAAAGTGTTATAGTAAAAAACAAAAACTATATCTATAGTTTCTAAAAAATTTGGTAATAGCAATATGGTACGACGATTGTTCTACTTGGAACGCTAACTAGTCTAGACAGTGCAATCATTTCAACAAAATAACCGTCTTCTCCCCTACCATCTAGACTTTCCGCAGTAAATATATCCACTGAGGATCAAAAAATGTATAATTAAAAAAATGATCGTATGGATCAAATATTTATTTCTTTACTACAGACTAGATTTAAATACTATATAATTCTGCTCTTATTATAAGTTTATTAATCAAATATATCCTAAAAGCAATATGTAAGAACAGTTGAGTTTTATAGGTACCATATGCATTATAACTCAAATTATTATATTTAATGAACTTGATAAAAAAAAACCTCAAAATGCAATTATTACTTTCATTTTATTAATTTCTTTGCAATCATAATAAAAATTTGGAATATCTAATATAACAGGTAGATTACATTATTCCTGACTACTTTACGTTGTATTACAGTATACGGTTTTATCAAAAAGTACTCAAGATTTTCTCTATACATTGCGTTAAAAAATTATTTATTCTAAATTTCTGAAAATTTTAGGTATTTTAGCATAATGTTTTATATGCTTTTTTATTAGTGTGCTCTTAAAACTTCATTAATTAAATAGTATTATTTACTTTTATAAACAATGTTTTGCTAAATGAGACAGATAAGACGTTTAATATATAAAAAACTTATCAAATATTATTTAAATAGTTACTTTATCAAAATTATTTTGAAAAATAATTTTTTAAATCCAACCCTTTTTTTGGCTTTCTTAATTTCCTAATGCTTTTTCTGATCTAACTACAGTGTGTGTTATAAAAGGCAAAGCCGAAAACTAAAATGTTTTTCGTTTTTAGGTTCTACATTTTTCTTACTAAATTAGTATGTATTTATGTTAGGCAACAAGGGGTCAATAACTATAAGTACATAATATATATGTATGTAAATCTATGTACATACAAATAACTCCTAATAAGATGCCCATACTTTATATCCTAAAGACTTAAAAACATTTGCATATTAAAACAAAGTTGGATCTTTGAAATTTACCGAATCACTTACTCTATTTGTTTAGATTTGACTACATTCATTTAATATTGTTTTTTAATATAAATTATATAATTCATAAAATATTTTTTTATTTGCAGTTTTAAAGGACTAATCAAACAAATGTAAAAAAACAAAGTACATATGTAATTTATTCAAAGATAAAATAAATATTTTTATATAATATGGTTGCTTACATACATATGTATGTATATAATGTACTTCAGTTGTTTTTGTAGGTCTACAATCTTTATTACTTGTTTTACGCACTAATATTTTTGTTTACCTACTTTAACAATAATATTTTAATATTTTTGTCACAAGAACGGCACACCAAGGCACAGCAAGGAAAATATTTAAACATCTGATTAAAGATACAAGCAACCGCATTAAAAGTTTTTAATTAACATGAATGAAACTGATAATTTTATTAAGTTCCATTCTTTTTATATTTATAGTGCAAACAATATTATTAAATTTTTAAAATGCGCTATTACAATGATTTTTTTTAATGTTTATTCATGCACAATTATAATTATAATTTTTTTAACTTCTTTTTAAAACGCCGATCCTGATTGTTTAAATATTTCTGTAACAAGGTAACCTTTATCGTTTAATTACACAAGGATTGGAATTTTTTAATCAAAAGACTTACTTACATATTATGTTTTTTTTTTATTCGTAAAGTCGAGCATAATTTATTTTGAAAAAAAAAAACTATGAATAATGTGATGTATGTAGAATAGTACTAAAATAATATAATAAAATAACAGTACTAAAATAATATATATATACATGTAATATGCATGTATAATTTTTTATATAATTTTATATATATGTATATGTGTATATAGGCTTAAAAACTAATTCAACCTACAAGAACTTCTTATTTTGTGGAATTAATTCAAAAGAATGAAATTACAATTAATATACAACTTGTTCACTAGCTTTGATTTTACTTAATGTAAATTACTTCCGGTGAATTTTGTGAAAAGTTTAGAAAGAGTTGCACTTTATTTCGATATATTTTTGTTTCTAGCTATTTTAACTCTCAAAATTAAAAGTTATGTTCTCCAATTGCACATTAAGGAAGATTATTTGCATTATTTGAAAAAATTTGTGTTTGATTTCTTACTATTTGTTTTGTACTTTTTTTGTATGCTGTATTATTAAAGTGCTACATATTGGTGATTACTTGATGAATACGTGTCATACATATACATATATTACTAAATTCTTATTATTATATGATTCAAAATATTTTCGTAAATCAAAAAATTAAAGGTTTAAAAGAAAACTATTAAAACTTCCGGATGTAAGACTTAAACGACAAGCTTAAAACAACCAAATCTGCAAATACAACATTTTTGTGTATAATGTGTATAATTTAATTCTTTTTTTAAATAACATAAAAACAAACAATTTTAAAGAAAATTATGATCAGAGATATTTTGTGATCAAAGCTTCAAGTTAGGATTAAATAGAAATATGAAATAACAGCTTTATAAGCTTCAAAACGTGTTATTTTGGAAATTAGTCACTCTACTGTTTTATTACATTACTGGGATAAATAGAAAAAGTTTTTATACTTACATTCATACTTAATATGTACATATGTACATATGTATATGTTCATTTATTCAATTTCCAAAAGTAAGAAATTAAGAAGTATCAATAACGTCAATACCAACAAATCAGTAGTCAGAATTCATTTGAAAATATTAATATTTTTTTTAATTAATTGAAGAGTCTCAAAACTTTATCCAAAAAGATGTATGTACATATGTATTTTTAAAATACATACATACATATGTATGTCCAACCTACAAGAACTTCTCATTTTGAGGAATTTTTATTTAATGAAACAAACAAATTGAAGAGTTTTTCCTAATTTTTTGTGGAAATATTAAAATTTTAGGAAACAAAATTATTTTTTAAAAAATTATAAATTTTGCTACTTCAAATTATTTAATTTTTTTCTAGATTTATACATACATGTTTATGTATGTAAAAATGTAATATTTTTTAAATTATTTATTTCTATTACAAAATATTCTACAATAATACAATCATCAAAAACTTACTTTGATTAATTTATGCTATAAAATTTTTAAAAATAAATAGTGAATATTCCAAAAATTCACTCTTCCAACAAGTGTAACTAGTATTTAACAGTTTTTAACGTTAAACAAATTAAATAATTCGTGGTATCGCTTTTTATGCGAATGTCCTACCAATTCCATAAAGTATACTATGTATTTATGTATACTATGTTCATTTTTATGTAATTCAAATCTTGAGCAAAAAATTGTATGAAGTTTGAAATTTAAATGAAAGTCAAACCATAAATTTTGAAGTCAAAAATTACAAAGCCATAAATTACATATGAAACTTACAAGAACACATATAACTTTTTAAATTTTTATAAACAATTGGTAGATAGGTAGGCAGATATTCCTACCTACTTTAATTTCCAAATAAAATAAATGAAATTGACAATTAATGTGGCTTAGCATATTCCGGCATTGGTATATTAAATCCGTCTTTAGTTTCAAAAAATGTGTAAGATAATGTTATAGTGTCAACTAATTCCATCTTAGGATCATCAACAAACTCCGGATCAATATAGAAGAATACTGGCATATCAACCTTATATAAACAATTTTTAAAAATTATTAAATTTCAAAGAAGCTTAAGAGTGAAATACCTCTTCGTTGGGATTCAATTGTTGTTCTTCAAAACAAAAACATTGAATTTTATTGAAATATTGTCCAGCTTCAAATGGAATTACATTGTAAGTGCTAATTCCAGTTACAGGTTTATCTGTTGGGTTTCTTGCAGTATAAAAAGCTAAAGCTGTTTCACCTGGCACTACTTTAATTTCATATTGCTGTGGCTTGAAGTTCCATCTCATTGATGCGCCCAGATCAGCGTTAAATTTTATTTTTAATTGTCGATTTTCTATCTTTTTCATATGTTCAACTTTTGCTACATCATGACCTTTGGAAGTCGTTCCACCATAACTATATGCCTAAAATTAGAGATTCGATAATTAAAACAAAAATTGGGAAGTGAAGAAATTTCCAAAAACTGTAACCTACAAAGTAATACAAAATTATCTTGCATACTAAACATGCATTAAATATTTGATTTCATCTATTGTAATAAGTATGTACCTACTATTTACTAATAATTTTAAATTTTAATGTAAGCCTATAACCTAGCTACATTGTAAATGTAAAAAAATAAATTTAGAGACTATCACTCACCTGGCAAAACATTCTATAAAGGGGCACTGCCGCATAGCTAAAACCAGCAACTAAAACACCGGCAGCAGAAACATAATACAAAGTTGATTTAATGTTTCTTTTTCGTGCATCTCCATCACTTCTATTAAAATTATTTTGAAAATTTGTTTTTGTTTGAAATATATTCCTTTTCTTTATACTAAAAAATTGATTTATCACACTTTTATTGCATATTATATACCTAGACAATTTTTGTAACATTTTAATATTTATTCAATATTTTATATAAACGTCTATATTGATTTATATGTTTTAAATACAAAATAAAAATAGAGTATTTGTTTCATAACTTAAAAAATTCAACACAATTGTACCAGTAATGATGCATTTTGTTTTTAAATGACAAAAGTAAGGTTATAATTAATTGTTTTGAATTTTCGCTGCCTTCAAATGTCAAATATTTACAGACTGTGCAGATATAAACAACAGCTTCCAAATGCTACATGCGTTACACATACGTTAAGTTTTCAAGCAAAAACATTCGTTATTTGGCAGTAAGGAAATATAAGATGACACCGTTTTTTTACTGGAACTATCGAACTCAAACACTACGGCCCCGCAAAGGTATACAAAAATTTTAGTAAAAAATAACCCTTAAAAGTTATTATTTTTGAATAAGATAATTGAATTTTGTCTTCAGAACGTTCGAAATATTCTGAATAAAGAAAAAAACTTTACATATTTTGACATATTGAGAAAATGGCAAAAGATGAATGATGATTTTGACGGATCTCCTATACTTAGTCCTAACAGATGTGGCAAAATAACACTAACAGAGTTCATCCAGTTCATTGGATCTCCTATACTTAGTCCTAACAGATGTGGCAAAATAACACTAACAGAGTTCATCCAGTTCATTCATTGAGTAATCATTTACATAACATTCAACATTGCAAAGCTCACGACCTTTTTCTAACATAAAGCCATTTTCATACAAAAAAAGTTAAGTAAAAACTACAGTGTCAAATAGATTAATATTAAAAATTAATTATAATTTGATTTCTTTACTGTTCAAAAGATTTTAAACGCTTCTTAATTTCTTTCTGCTTCTTTTTTCTAAATTTCAATAAAAATATTCTTCTACAGTGTCAATTATTTTTTGTTCACGGAAAAAACTCAAAAAAAAATTGTAGTTGAAATTTTCAGTTAAAAATATTCAGGTCAAACAAAAAAAGAACTCTTTTTCAGAAATTCAAAGGCAAATATTGACAACGACCGCTTTATTTCTTAAAATAGTTTCAATTAATAACGAAAAAATGTCATCTGCGAACATGTTAATTTAGTATGAATTCAATTTTCGATAACACCTCGCACGAAGCAAAAAAAACTTGTTATTTATTCTATTATAGTGTGAATAAAATATTAAAAAAATAATACTAAGTGATACAAACTTATTGAAAAGCTACATATTTACATTTTATCAAATGACTATTGTGAATTTTTCCATCTTTACCGAAAAAGTACCATTATCAAATTTAGCAAAAGTCATACGTTACTATGGTTGTAAAACAATTACAAACAGAATTTCAGAATATATACATATTCTAAAACAACCTAAATTTTATGGATTCCTAAAAGATATTTTACTAAATAAAAGGAATGGACTTCAGTTTGGATGATCCTTTAGCTGACTTAGTTAGTGATAATTCTAATGACAGCTTTTTCGAGACATCTAAAAAACCTCCACAAACAGGATTAAAAGCCAAGGATGGCACCAAACAACAAAGTACAGAAAGTCAAAGAGGCTTTACGTCTGCTAAAACAATGGAAGATTTATTTGGAATTCAATCTTCCATACACTCAACAAAACCTCAAGGGGAAATCAAATCTACTCCACCTTCATCTCTTAGTATTAAAAAACCGATAATTTCCAGAACTGAACCAAGCAAATCGGGTGATATCTTTGTTGAAGGTGATATAATAGCTGATTTAGGTTTTGACCCAAAGAAGCCTAAGGGTAGTAAATCAAGTATTCTTGACGATTTACTTACTTCAATCGATACGTCGAAAACTACACAACCTGCCCTAAAATATTCTAGACCTTTGACGGCAGCAGGTGTAAATGCCCCGAAAAATATATCAAGACAATCAACAGAAACTGATAACTCCGGTCCTGGTACTTCTCAAGGAACTTCTTTACCAACTACTAGACCAAAAACATCTGTGGGACGCCGACAATCTGTTAATTCTGGAAATGACCCATTAGGATTGTTTACAACTCCTCCAGCAGGGTCAGTCAAAGATCAATCTTTTGAATCTAAAGTTGATTCTAATAAGGAAATTTCATTTAAAAGCAAAGTGAAAAGTTTAAATCCAGATTGGCTGGGCCTTGACCTGCAATCTTCAATAAAAAAACCGGAATCAAAAATATCAACTTCAGAGCCACAAATATTACAAGTCAATCAAACCGAATTACCTGAAGCAATATCTTCCGTATCATATTCTCAGCAAGAGTTTTCCCAAATGAATGCGAATCCGACCTACAATAATCAAAACACAATTGCAATAGTGGCTGCAAATATGGAAACTCAAAACGCTATTCAAGCTCTTCATCAACAAGAATCACAAATTTTAATGGCAGCACAGTTAAAAAACCAAGAGAGAGCACTTCTTGAAATGCAGAAGAAACAACAAGAACTACTAAATCAACAAGAGCTTAAATTCAATGAATTATTGAAAAATCAAATATCTAGGCAAAATAATTTAGAAACAACTATAAAAGCGCAACAAGAACGTATTAATGCTCACATACAAATGCTAATGACGCAGCCTCCCCTTCTTTCAGATACTGCAGAAATGAAAATATTTCAAAATAATGAGAATAAGAAAACTGATTTAATAGCAGAAAATGAAAACCACGAAAATCAAATTCAATTTGAACATGAAGTGAAGCGTTTGGAACTAGAAAAGCTTAGACTTGAAGACTTAATATCAAATATAAACATAAACTACGAAAAAGAGCTTGAACTCATAGAGAATTCCCATAAGTAAGTAGCTACCTACCTTTAAAAAAATTCATATTAAAACTACATATTATATACATTTTTTTAAAAATAGAATTTTATGTTTTTCTTATTATTTTGGTAACTAAAATATAGGAAGCAGATTCAGCTATTAGAAGACAATTTAGAGATTGTTGAGAAACGTTTACAAACGGAAATTATTTCTTTACAAGAATTTTATTCCAAGAAATTAAACGATATTGAGGTAGAAAAACAGAAATTAGTCAATGAATATGAGGAAAAACTTAGGAACTTAAAAGAAAATTATGAAAAAAATATCGCAGACTTAAAATTAGATTATGAGAACTCGATTGAAAATCTTAAATCTGATCATAAATCTACTATTGAAGCTATACGTGAGTCTAAATTAATGGAATTTGCAGTAGTTCAGGACAACACATCATATTTGCAAATTCTTAGAAATGCGTCAACTAATTTAGAAAACGTTTCAGGAAATTTACAAAATCTAAGAGATGAAATGTATAACAAAATAGACTTAGAATACAAAGAAAGAGAAGACAAGCTAATGCAAAAAGAAAAAAAATTAAATGACTTAGAACGACGTTTAAAGATTACAGAAGAGTCATCTGACAAAGAAAAATCTCGTTTAATAGAACTAGTAACTACCCTCGAAATTCAACTTCAAAAACTATCACAAGATTCTGCTGACGAGAAATGGAATATAAAGCAAAAATTATCGGCATTAGAAATAGAACGTGAAGCATTTGAGCGCGAAAAACTCTATATTAGGGAACAGCTAACTCGATCTGAAAAAAAACTGGAAGATTTAAAGGAATATCAAGTTGAGGAATATCGTAAACTATTGGAAAAAGTGCAAGATGAAAAAAAATTGTTGGCAATTGAAAAAACTAAGTTTGAAACTGCTAGAAAATTGGATGAAGGTAGTGGCTTAAATCGATCTAGAGCAGAAATAGATATAGCAATCAAAGTAGCAAAAGAAGCTACCAAACAAGCGGATGTGGAGCGTGAGCGTTTCCTAAAGTCACAAAGAGAATTGGAAATTCGTAAGAGGGATTTAATTGATCAAGAAAATGAACTTCGCTCAAAAGGAGAGGAGTTGGAATCTGAAATTCTAAAAACAAAATCTAAGGAACGAAAAGTTCGCGAAGCATTGCAACGCCAAAAATACATTGAGCAAAGCTTAACTGCAAAAGTACAATTTTTGCAAAACCAAACCAGAGTTCTTTCTGAGCGTGAAACACAATTGTCTCAGGAGAGATTATTGCTATCAAAAGAGCGAATAGATCTTCAAGAACTTAAGAAAAAAGTTGAGCTCAGTAAATGTAGTCTTTGCAAAATCGGAGAAAGAAGTATTGAAATTTCAAATATTATAACAGGAAATGATATTTTACCTGATGCAGAAAATTATTTAACTGAATTTAATTTCGCTTACAATAATAACTTTACTCACAATATTGACCAACTCTTTGATAAGGATGTGACAGAGTCGTTAATGAAAATGGAACATATAAATAAAAACTTCAACAATGAGTTAAATACCGACGACGATAATGTGCTTAACCAGAATTTAAACACTCAAAATTTCGACCTTCCTCAACCACAAGGGTTTCTAGATCCTGAGTTCTCTACTATTGACTTAAATTCTAGATTATCCAAAATTGATGAATTTTAAAATTTTTGCCTTTTACATACATTTATGACTGAATAAAAGCATAATAATTATAATTATTCTAATAATTGATTATCAACTTAATATTATGAAAATTGTATTGTAAAACTAACTTTATAATGTGAAAGTGAAGCCTGAAAATTTACTTTTTAAGTTAAATCTAATAATGTAATAAATATTATTCCTAGAGATAACTTTATACTAAACTTCAGTGTATTTAAGTAAATATTTTCCATAATAAAGAATTTATATTTTACAAAATTAATATACATATGTATAAACATACATAAAATTTTTAATATTAAAACTAAATTAAAAGTTCATAATAAAGGACTATTAAGGTGAATCTATTGGTTCGTCTCTTTTATGAGTTTAAAGCTTAAAACTTGCCAGTACTTTTTTCAAAACATTTTAATTAAAAATAAATAAAATGAATTCAAAAGTTTCGCTCTTTTATAGACCAAAACCAAAATTTCTGGTTTTTTGCATTACCAAAAAATATTTGTTACCGACCATATTGTGTAAAAAATAGGTAGGTTATGTGATGGCAACAAATTTTGCATATCGAGTTTTCGGTGGGAACGTACTTCTCCATAGTAGGGAAGTGTAAATAAACTATTTTTAGCAACCTGTCAGTCTGTCCGTCTGTCGGTCTGTCGGTCTGTGTGTGCACGCGTGTATCTGAAGTTCGGCTGAACCGATTTTGATGAAATTTTATATGTAAGTTTGTTTCCACCATGGCACGGATCGATCAACTTTTGGTACATATCAGACCTCGGAAACTGCACTTTTTAGCGGGCCTGTTTTACATTTTTGAACATTTTGAAGAAAATATTCAACCGATTTACTTGAAATTTTATATATAAGCTCAGCTCGACCGTCCGCAAAAATTCGTATGTTTTGGAAGAAATCAGGCATCGGCAACTAGACGCTTACTATGGACCAAATATACATTTTTGTGTATATAATGAGAAATAATCAACCGATTTCATTGAAATTTAAAATATGAACTCCTCGTATTAAAACAATGAACATATAAATTTTTTGGAAAGATCAGGGCTCGAAAACGGATTTGCGGGCCGATTTTACATTTTTCACCATTTTGAAGAAAGTATTCAACCGATTTGCTTGAAATTTCATATATAAGCTTTGCTCGATCATACGAAAAAATTCCTAACTTTTGGAAAAAATCAGGCATCAGAAACTGGGCGTTTACTACGGGCCAAATATACATTTTTGTGTACATATATAAAGCGAAATAATCAACCGATTTCATTGAAATTTAATATATGAATTCCCCGTGTTAAAACAATGAACAAGTAAATTTTTTGGAAAGATCAGGCATCAGCAACTAGACGTTTACTACGGGCCAAACATACACTTTTGTGTATATAAAAAGAAACAATCAACCGATTTCATTGAAATTTAATATATGAATTCCTCATATTAAAGCAATGAACATAGTATGTATAACTTTTTTGGAAAGATCAGGGCTCGAGAACTGATTTGCGGGCCGATTTTACATTTTTCACCATATCCAGAGAACAAATTGATGGAGTTTCTTGAAATTTGATATTTGAGTTCTGGTTGTTACCGAAACTAACTGACGAGCATTTCAGGGAATTCGGGTAGCACAAAGCGAAACTCTACTAAGAGCCAAATTTACATTTTTCTAGGTATGTTAACTATAAGCTTACTAATGTCCTAAAAATTGGTAAGAAGTATTTAACAGACATTTTTATAATATTCTGTAACATTTTCATTTAACTAGAAAATACGCAATGCGGTCGGTTGTGTGCTGACCACATCAGATTTTTTATGTTTATATTTTGAAATTTGACGTTTATCCACGTATTTATAAAGTTTTTAAAAGTTTTTTCGACTTTTCCGTCTGGTTTATTTTTTCTTTTAAATGAGATTTTTTTCTTTTTGCGAGAAATTACATATAACAATCTCTTTTTAAAGTTTTTTCAGGTTTTATGCTAACAGACCTCACCTATTATTTCCATATGTGCAGCGTATACAAAAATTGGAATTTCAAATAAAGTACTCCATCATCAATATAAACGAAGTTGTTGTTACCGGAATAATTATTGATACTGGCACTGCTCCAATTCTGGAGCTTAAAGCGAAATAATTGAAGATTAATTATTATATAAAGTGCAAAGTTAAAATAAATAAATGTACACATTTAATCTTGAAAGAAATTTACTTTCATTACACATTTGAAAAGTGTTAGCAAATTTTCATCCAAGTGGTTGAAGAAAATATTAAAAAATTTAATTTTTTTGAGCGTAACCTTGTATGTTGTATAAAATAGTTTTCCATCCATAGTTTTAAAAAAAATTGAAATAATGTGGAAATGTGACTGCTTATGTTAGTGAATGTGTTTTTAAACGTAGTGGAGGACCAATTTGAATACTGGAAGAGAAACTTAAAGCTGTGTTTTTTTTACTCTTGACTGCAAAACGTAAGACAACGAAAGTTTAAAGAACGCAATGAATTCAAGATTTATTTTAATTCAGAAGTTTATTGTGAATTCAACAAGAAACGAATGAGTTTCACTTTAAAACTGTCAAAACCGTTAAGTATATGCCAATATTTTACCTTATTGTGTAAATAATTTATTTTGACAGTCGGCAAATCGTAAATAATCAACTATTTTTGTCATATTTAGTAAAAAAAATAACAAACGTCATATTGTGAAAATTATTTTTTTACAAGATTTTAAGGTATATTTCATATTATATTTCATATAAGGTATATTTATTGTTTATTTAACAATGAATACTACTCGTATGAACCAACATTAAAATATTGGATTCTATCTTTATGTAAAGTTTATTATTTTGCAGAATGTCGGACACTTCACAATTTACCCAATCACAATCTCGTTCAGGTGAAAGAGATGTATATCAACAATCACAATTTCCCATTGGCAGCGAACAAGTTCAACCCAGACATCAGTTCTCATATTCCCAACCTTCAACGCAAGGACAAAAACCACAACACCCTTTAGCGAATTATCAATTTTCTTCCGAAGAATTAAGGGTTTTAAGAGAATGCAATACGGAGTCATTTTTCCAACGTTGTATACCATTTAGCGCAGTATTTGGCCTTGGCTCACATTTAGCAGTCAAAAATGGCTTTCTGACACCTAATCCTAAATATGGCTCGGTTCCAAAAGTTGTAGTAAGTGTAATTATAGGCTATTTTCTTGGCAAAATCAGCTATCAACAAAAATGTGCTGAAAAAATGATGCAATTACCAAACTCAAAATTGGGAGAAATTTTAAGACAAAAAAAGCAAGGGGGCATTGTGGGTTCTTTGCCGAATCAAGGCATGGGAACTCCCGGATTCGGTTTAACGCCGTTCTCAGCTGCTCCAAACAACGACGTCTATGACGATACACATTTAAAAGATAAGCAAACTAGATCAAATGCGTTGGACTTGGATACTGAAAGACCTACTTTTAGTTTAGATGATAGTCAAAATTTTGGTGATATTGGCAATCAAAATGAAACTTTACCTTTAGAACCTCCTAAAAAATTGGTAACTTACGAGGAGCTTAGAAAAACTAATCGGGATAATTACTACAAAAGAGCGCAAAGTAATGCACCAATTATACAAGATTCGCCGAGTGTTATAAGAACAAGAGAAATTCCACCGTCAACAAGTAATAGTGATGAAGCACAAAATGGCCCGATAAAGCCAATGAAGAAAAATCAATATGGCGACGTTTGGTCACAATAATAATACTATAGAATTTTGAAAATGCAAATGGAAATTGTTAAACCTTAGAAAAACTAATCGTCTAATAACGAATGTTATAAAAAATTTATATTTCTTAGATATTTATTTAGATATATTCATCATATATCTAAAGCAGTTATAATTTTTAATTACACAAAAATAAACATTATGTAGGAACATGTAATATGTAGATAGTTCCTTTCTTTTTTGTTTTAATTAAGATGCCATTTACAAAAAGGTACCTCTATTTAATAAATTTATTATGCTAAAGTCAGAAAACAAATCTTCAAGTCAAAAGTCAAAATTCAAATTAATAGGATTGAATATTTAACTCAATTTTCTCCTTTCAATAATTTAAATATCAGTTTATTAATTAATTACATCATTATGTACTACCTATACCAAATAAATATAACAAAAATTTTAAGAATTCGCCTTCTCAGGACAATAACTACAATATGATTAGAAACAAAAAAATTTTTTCAAATATGTACCATTAAACAATAATATAAAAAAATTTATTAAATTTATAACAAGGAATCATCCACTTCTATTTTTAATTTACAAAAGGAAAAAATTTAAATTTTATACAAAACTATCGAAATATAAAATGTAACAGAATAGAAATTATTAAAACAATCACGGCTGAAGCTATTCCAATATACATTACTTGTCCATATCCTTTTGCATATTTGGACTGACGATTTGAAGTGTTTGGTATTTTACTTATTCCAAAACTGTCATCATCAGGATACCCTTCAACTGCATCATTAACATTTTGTGTTTCAATTTCCAAATCTAAGATAAACTTTGCTTGCGATGTAACAACAGACGGAGACTCTCCCCGAAATATATAATCGCAAAATTGAATACCGTTATCATCAACTTTGTTGAAAAATACTCTTCTAGGAGGTTCATTTATTACAACGGCGTCATTAGATGCATTAGGATCAATCAAACCATCACAATACACCTGTATCCGGGAACACATTGATCGCATAATATCAATTCTTATAAAATCATAAATTTCCTTAAATGAAGATTTTGGATGAGCCCAAACTCTTGATGCTATTATTCCAGAATATCGAATTATTCCATCAAATTGTTCAATTAATACCTTCTCATCCAAAGCCGTTGTTGTCAAAAATATACTGGCTGATATCCCCTTTGTCTTATCGTATTTATTTTGACATTTTTTCAAATAGTTTTCCAAAATAATTCCATCTTCGACTGGTTCGTCTTGTACAAAAATTTTGCTATTATTAACATACAAGTTGATTGCTTCGAGTGTAGCCTATAAAAATATAAATTTAATTCAAAACTTTAAACCAAGTTAAAATAGTTGACCGTGAAATGTGTTTCAATATTGAGTTTTTCGTTGCTTTCAGCGATAGGGAAAATTTCGTCTAATTCATAATTTGTTTCAAAAAAAATCCATTCGGTAAGCTTATCAAGAAAAATACATTCTGCCGGAATCAAAGTGTTTCTAAAGTGAGTTGCAAAATTTTATACAAAAAATATGTACACAAATTTATATATTTTACTAACTTGTCCTTAGGGTCATAATATTTACAATCTAAACTTTTTGTTGCAGAATTATAGAACATTATTAATTTAGTCGATCCCATAGTTGTTGAAGTACCGTAAAGATATTTATTTCGTCTAAATAGTCTTTAAATAAATATGATTTAAACCATGTGGGTGGCATAAAAATATATGGTACTTACTGGCTTATGTCTGACAAAATTGCCATTATTTTATCTGTTTTTTCTTTATTTTTGTATATGTCAGAATCATCCACGAAAAATACACCTTTAATCAATAATCATTTAAAATATACATATATTATGGAAAGTAAAAATGTTTTATTACCCAAAACGAAAAAAGATCCTGGAATCATTTTTATAAGACTCATCACTTGATGTGATAATGAAGTACTATCTAAATCATTAACAGATTGAAAACAGATATGGCTAGAGTTATGTTCTGGGGTTGTTTCAGAGACTTCAATTTCTTGCTCCGTTTCATTGCAATCTGAATTTTTTGCCAAATGAATTACATAATCTTTGTTTTGGATATTAGGCTTAAATTGTTTAACATGAAAAAATATTTAATACAGTTTAAATTGAAGCAAAAAAAAATTGTCGTCGTGTACTTGATACTCACTTGTCCAATAACAAGACCGAATGAAAATTTTCTTTCAGTTCCACATTTTTCTAAATATTTCTGAATGTTCCTATGTGCTATAATTGTTCGCATTTTCAAAAATAATAATTTATTTCCAATAATAAAATTTAAAACTTTATTCACAATTAAAATTCAATAAACATTTCAATCTATTATGTAGATTGGAATATGATGATATGTCACAATTTTATATTCACATTGACATTCTGTTCCTGCATTCTGCAAAGCAAAATGTTACCTAGGTGTGTTCATTTTTTCATTTGACATAACAAAAAATTTAATTATCAATGAATTTTTAACTTTTTCTAACTAAAAATTTAAAAAAAATTGATTGTGTTAAAATCGTGAACTGTGACCTTTTAGTATTCAGACGTGTCAGTCGTGATTTTTTTAATGCAAGTTGTAAACCATAATACATCAAATCCAACGTAATACAAACTAGCAATCAAACTTTTCTTACACTAAAGTGTTAATAAAATAGTATAAAATTAGCAATATATAAAAGAAAAGTAATTTTTTTAATATAATTTTCGTGTGCGTATTTCGTGAAAATTTAACGGAATTCTATTTAAAATAATTTCAGTGCTAATTTTCAATTTTTTTTTTGTGAATATTCTGCTGCAAAACAAGTTAGTGTTTTTTTTTATCAAGGTTATTATACAAATTTAATAGACAATGTTTAATAAAATTAATATTTCGAGATTTATGCAAATTATTTTTGACATTTTTATTGGCTTTCACAAGATGTTAACAGTACATACTAAAACTGAAACTCAGTAATTTTTTGACAAAGTCAGAGTATGAATATGTTAAAATGAATATAGCTTGTCAAAAAATTAAAAAATTTTTGTAAAAAAAAGGCAAGTTCTCGGAACAAAGCTTGTTATATTTTACTCAGACAACCAGTTAAAATTTAATACTGTCTGGTTCTATGTGCATACTAACAAATTTTCATCAATTTAATCCTAGAGAAAAACTTTTTAAGATCCAACTTAAAAATTAGGTTATCAATTTTGAATATAATTCTTGAGGTTAATATTATAACTAGATATCTCAAAAATTTTATATAAACCTAGGCGTCATAGAATCGAATGCTCTTTCATCTAACGCCAATATCTAAACTTTTAAATATCTGAAAATTATAATGCCAAAACTAGGTATCTTCATTGTAAATCAATTTAATTGCTAAATTTTGTATCTTTAAAAGTCAATATGTTAAAACCAATAAATGAAAGTTATCTAGTTAACTAGATTTCAACATTTATTTCAGTATCATCTACATTTTTTTAGCAATTACCAACTAAATAAACCACAAAATAAATTTACCAAAGGCGCTTCTTATTAAAACTAAGAATTTTAAGTAATAAAAAGTAATGATTTTGTTTGTATGTATTTACTTATCCTAATTTAAGCAAAATTTTTCTATTTTCCACATGCTATAACTTTTGACACGTAAAAATTCATTATTACTGCAAGCAAAGTTCTACGGCAGCACTACTAATTCTTATTTTCCATTAGTCATATCCCATCATCGCCCAAGTGTTGTGCTGTCATTCTTGAAAAATTTTTATGCATTTAGTTAAAAAGTAAATTTTTTCTATTCTATTTATAATTGAATTTAAGCACAAAAATGGAACCTTATGATGTGATAGTTAATCAACCAGTTGTTATTGATAACGGATCTGGCGTTATTAAGGCTGGTTTCGCTGGTGACCATGTTCCAAAATGTCGCTTTCCAAATTACATTGGTAGACCGAAACATTTACGGGTTATGGCTGGTGCCTTGGAGGGTGATTTATTTGTGGGGCCAAAAGCTGAAGAACACAGAGGTTTGTTAAGTATCCGTTATCCAATGGAACATGGAATAGTTACCGATTGGAATGACATGGAGCGGATCTGGAACTACATTTATAGTAAAGATCAATTATCGACTTTTTCCGAAGAGCATCCAGTATTATTAACAGAAGCTCCTCTTAATCCTAGAAGAAATAGGGAAAAGGCTGCTGAAATATTTTTTGAAACTTTAAATGTGCCTGCTCTTTTTGTATCAATGCAAGCTGTTCTTAGTTTATATGCTACAGGGCGTGTTACAGGTGTAGTTTTAGATTCTGGTGATGGAGTTACACATGCTGTTCCTATATATGAAGGATTTGCAATGCCTCATAGCATTATGCGAGTCGATATAGCTGGACGGGACGTAACTCGCTATCTAAAAGCGTTAATAAGAAAAGAAGGTTTCAATTTCCGTACCACTGCCGAATTTGAAATAGTAAGATCGATAAAGGAAAAAGTTTGCTATTTGGCTAGTAACCCTCAAAAGGAAGAAAATATTGAAACAGAAAAATTCGCATATACATTACCAGATGGAAAAACATTAGAAATTGGTCCAGCAAGATTTCGTGCTCCTGAAGTATTATTTCGACCAGATTTACTTGGTGAAGAATGTGAGGGCATTCATGATGTACTTATATACTCTATTGAAAAATCTGATATGGATTTAAGAAAAATGTTGTATCAAAATATTGTGCTATCAGGAGGTTCTACTTTGTTTAAAGGCTTTGGTGATAGATTATTAGCAGAAATAAAAAAACATGGGCCAAAAGATTTGAAAATTAGGATTGCAGCACCACAAGAAAGGTAAAAAAAAATTACATCTTTGTATATTATTTATAAATATAAAATTTAATTTTAAGATTATATTCAACATGGATGGGAGGCTCTATTTTAGCATCTCTGGACACATTTAAAAAAATGTGGATTTCTAAGAGAGAATATGATGAAGAAGGGCATAGAGCAGTACATAGAAAGACATTTTAATTTTAAGTAAATTTTATTTTTTCTATTTCAAAATAATTTATATAACACAAAAAGAAAAAAAAACAATTTATATAATTAAAATAAAACAAAATAAAAATTATATATTTATTAACAAAACCTACTGATTTTTTTAGGTTAAAAACGCTTTCAATAGGAATTATATAGAAATTTTTACTTTGTATGTATTTATGTATAATATCAATAAATTCTCAATTTTTGTTATAAGCATAATCAAAATTTTCTACGTTGTTTAAATATTTTGAAGCTTGAATAAATTTTATTTTTGATAATTTCCGAGTTCACAAATTTACTATTTTTTTTTGTATTGATTTTAGGAAAAATAACGAAATATATATTATGTATCTCAATAAAGTAAATAAATTATATAAGTTTCTAAGATTTTAGAAAAAAAAAAACATTCAAAATATCAGCCAGTAATTAAAGTCGATTTACTTTGCTAAACAAATCAATGCTTTTTATTTTTACCTGCCCAAATTACCGTTTTTAATTACAGAGTACATGCATACTACAGAGTAGTATACAGCATATTTCGAGCTGAATGATCTGAGGTGTGTTAAAAATAAATCAGGAATGATGCAATATGAGTATGGGTTATGTTCACGGTTATGTTAATACATATTTGTTGACATTTTAGTAAGAATTCTTTTTTTTTCAAAACAATTAAAAAAATAAATATATATGTATCGTAATTTATAGTGTATTTATCTTTCCAAGCCAAAGAAAATTATACGAAATTTTTTTGATATCTATACCTATGTATATATGTAGAAAGTTTTGTTAATGTTTGAAATTACACATGTTTAATAAACCAGATTAAAAATTTATATAGGAAATTTTATCGATTTCTATGCATTATATGTCTTCTATTCCTTATTCTTTAAAATGTAAAACTTCGAAGTTAAAGGATAAATTCATAGCAAATTTTTAATATGCTAAGGTTAAAGGTACTTACATTAAACAATATTCTCTTAAGAAAATGCTTTGCCAAAAATTTAAATACGTTTGTTTTCAATATAATTTAAATTGAAATAAAAAATGCTATTAAAATTTTAATATACTCATTTTTATTTTATTATTTTGGTTTTACATTCATATAAATATACGTACTTTTATATATATAAGGATATATGTACATATATGTACATAATATTGAGAATAATAATCTCTAAAATCTAAAACTATAATCTAACACAATTAATTTTTATTTTCGCTTGAGTGAAAATAACATTATGTATGTACTTAATTAATTTAATGTTGTATAATATTATATAAACTTCTCAATTAAATTATTTTTAAAAACTCTAAAACTTTTTGTTTTTAAGGAGCAAAAGGAAGCTTTATGGATTTGTGAATTACTTCTATTTACACATCAATTACATCAAAAATTTTGCAATTGATCATTCAAATGATACAGAAAAAAAAACCTAGTTATTGAAACAAAAACTTTTACATTTTAATAAATTAATTTAATACATATGTGAATATAAACATAAGAGTTTTTGTCATAAAATTTTATTAATAAATATTGAGATAACATTAATAATTTGTTTCGAATAAAAAATTATAAAATAAAAGTGTTACTTTGATCATGAGAGCTACTGTTAAAATAAATGTAGTTACTTTATATAAATAACAAAAATAATTCAAATGCACTAAATTTATTCTTCTTTGTTTTACTTCCACTTTTGATATAAAACCTTCAACTAAATAAAAAATATTATTTTTTTGTTTTCACATTAAATTTACATGTATAAATTAATACCAAAATATTTATTTTCAGTTGATTCTTTCAATTTCCTTTAAATTTTAAACAGTAACTCTCCAATCATCATTTTTTACTATTTTATTATTATAATACAAGATTGTATTGTATGCATATTTTTTTCATAATATTATAAAATATATATATATATATATATATTGATCACGTTGAACTTTATACTTAAATATTTTTTAAATAGTTTTAATATAATTTAATGAAAAAAAATAGTAATTTTACGAATGCTTATTACTTTCATATGTAATTTTATTATATTTTTAATAACAATGTCTAAATAAATATCAATTTAGTTTCAATTCAAATTTGGCACAAATAATTGAATATAAATTAACGCAGAAATTTTTTCATAAATTACAGGACAAGATAAAAAACAAGAACAAATTTCAAACTCAAAAACAAAAGAGATTTGCAAAAATTTCGATAATTTCAATTACAAACATTTAATTTGATTTTTTTTTGTTTTATTCCAATATAACTTTTGAACATACTTAAAAACAGAACTTTTTAATACTTATGCTTTTCGCAATTACTAACAATATAATAACGAAAACTTTTACAATTTCTTATAACATGTTTTTAGTTCACTTTACATCTTTTTTCTTTTGACTTTCCATGATAAAAAGACACAAAAAATAATTACTTGAATATAAGAAGTATTTATGAAACTATATAATTATCCTCATATTGTAACAATACATTCGTGACACTAGTAATATTAATATGATTATTATTATAAAGCGTATTTTAAAGCAAAAACTTTTTAAACGATTTTAACGTACATATATTATATATAATAGATTTTTAAAATTAAAAAAATTCTAAATTTAAAATGAATATATAGAAAATTAAATAAATTAAATCGCATACTAATGAAAGTATTTTCTTAATTTGTGTAAAAAATATGCTGGATTAACAAAAACTCGTGACGAAAAAAACAAATAAGAAAATCTCAATCATAAAAAAATATCCTTCTTTTAACAAAGTTAATATAACTACACAATAAAATATTTCATTTAACTTGAAAAAATTGAACAAAAAAGAATCTTTTTTTATCAAATGTTACAAGTTTTACAAGTCTTTTTCTTCATTTTGCATCGATGCAGCTATTTCAGCAAATTTCGTTACATAATCAACACTCGATTCACTAATTACTGACAGGTTTGAGGAAATGTTTGATCTATCGATACTAGTTATATCTCGTCCATTATTAATTTCATCTAAATGTCCTAATAGACTACTTAAAGAATAATCATTGATATTTTCTTCCAGCCATTTTGAAGAATCTGAACTATTAACTTCACGTAATAATGATGCCGGACTCATTGGGGGAATACTGATAAAATTTTGCACATCATTTGTATTTTCTTCTAAGTATTTCGGAGTGTGTATTGGAGATGGTAATGTTAACTCCATTATTGGGGATAGATCAGGCATACTACCGATCGACAAATTAGTGTCACCTTTAATGAGCTTATCTTCGCTATCGCAGATTTCTGTTATTTTAAAATCTTTTAAATCATTTTCACTATCATTGCTATCAAATTTATTTCTTGTAGTTTCATCTATTTTGTCTTTAGATTGTTGCAAAGGTGATGTAAGTTTATTTGTAACATTTGAATGATCTGGAGGTATTTGTAAAATTTTCGTTGGAAACGAATTATTTATATTCTCACATTTTTCTGTATTTTTGTTTTGCGTAACCTGAGAAAACTTTTCCCCAACACAATTTGATTCAGGCAGTGGTTTTATATTTTTTTGTTTTAAACCTTCTTCAACTGTGTTCATTTTGAGGATATCATATCTTGGGCTTACTCCTGGTTGTACAGGTAAAACTCTCTGGACAAACAAATGCTGAGATTTTAATACACTTCCACCCCGAACCATTTTTGATTGCCTAGACCTATATGCATCTATTGAAAATACTGATTTTCGATATGGCACCAATGGTTGCCGAAAAACTGAATTTGATTTTGTTTCATTGTTACTAATCATATTGTTTTTATTTAAAACACTACGGTTAACAAGTTCATTTTCCAATCTAACTTTAGAAAATTTATCACAAGTATGACCACAATAACATGATTTTTTTTTCATTCTTTCACTAAGGTTAGCTATTACTAATAGTTGTTTTAATTTATCACTTAAACCACTTGAATGAATTTTATTTATTGCTTTTAATTGCTGCTCGTGTTCCTCTGGAGTATTATTGACAAACGATGCACCATTATATGACACTATTCCAGTACTAAATATAGTCTCATCTGATTGATGATTCACAATAGTAGAACTATTTGCGTTAGGTTTATTATCAAAATTTTCATTAGTCCAATAGTATTCAAAAATTAGTTTGGAATCGCTTCCAAATACAATATATAAATCACCTAAAATTATCATTTATTTTAAAAATATTGTTTTGTTTCTTGTTAACTAAAACCAATTTGTTTTTTTTTTTTTTGACTTACCCACTGTTATGTCATTTGCATTTGAAATGGTCCAGCCTTTTCGAACTCTTCGAATTATTTCTTCGTTAACCAACGGTCGTACATTACTCATATCCTTTTTCGAAATACTACTATCTTTCTTTTTTGATTTCTTAATTTTATTACTGCTTTGAGAATTGTTGTGATGAGTTGAGTTATTATTGCTGCTATTACTACTATTTACACTATTATTATTATTACTATTAAAGTTGCTGTCATTGGTAGGAACAGTAAGGGAACAGTTCATATTGTGGCTTACTGCGTTTAATGATGATGTCGATGATAAAGTTTTATCAATATTATTTACAGAAGTTGATAGATTTTCATGAGAGTTTGTCAATAGTGTTGATGTATGGCATTCTATATCACTATTACTATCTTGGCGTGAAAATTTTACATCACTGTCGTCATTACTATCGCATAAAAGTTCGCCAAAATCTTCCTGCAAATTATTTTCTTCCAATTCGTCACCAGAACTTATGGGTTTTAATTCATCTTTTACAGAGGTATTCAGGTTTTGAAGATTAATATTGGTTTCAGTTTTAACATCGGTTTTTATATGAGTCATATTTTGTTTTTGAATTGTGTTTTCCGCTACGTTTATGTTTAATTCATTTTGTTTTAACTTTTTCATTTCAGGACTTCTCTTTTCACAATTACTTTCACTACGGTGACGCTTCAAATGACTTTTTTCATTACAAAGAATTTCACCTCGAACTTTGGCGCCGATCCGTTCTTCGTATGAATTAAGACAAACATTAAAACTACTCAAAACTTCAGTTATACTCAATAATGGACGATGAATTACTGCTTCCGCCGTTGGCCTTAAACATATGAAAGGTTCACTAATATTAAGGTTTAAACAGTTTGAATCGTTTATTGATAAAAAATTGGTGTCTATATTATGTGTAGGTGCTTTGTTAGCAAATATATTTGGTAAATTAATTGATTGCTGTTGAAGTTTTGTTGCTTCAATAAGTAATTTTGTTTCCTTCGTGCGCCACTTATT